GGGAGGGAGGGTTGGGGTTTTTTTAGTTTTAGAAGCAGTTTGAGTGGTCATAAAGGTGTGTGTTTTTCTGTGAGATGCTGTAATTATATAATTAACATACTAGTTAAAATTATGGGAATTACCCAGAAGCACATTGCTTCCACCTTGAGAATAGTGTAATGTTGGAATAAAATCTAGAGAATGGATGAGAAATTACATTGCAAGATGTGGTGTCTTTGTGCATGGTAAACTTTTGCTAACTGAATGGTATGACCCTTTTCATTATTTATTAAAAAGCACCTTTAAAAAATTATTTTACTCAGCTCTTGTTAAATCCTGAAATGATGAAAGCTTCTCCAGCTTTAGCCCATTATGTGTATGACTTCCTGGAGAATAAAGCCTACAGCAAAGGGAAGGGGGATTTTGCACGGAAGGTAAGAACGTTTTGCACTGTCAAGAGAACTTTAGAGCATTTTTTAGTGTGATGATTGCATTAAACAGACATGTTGAGCTGATATTAAAACAGTGAAGTAGCACTTTCAAAACAACTTGCAAGTCAGTTGCTTGAATGTTTTGTGAGTGGCAAAGTATCTGAGCACATATGAAACCAAAAATTTACAGTTTTTACAACAGGTAAGTTTATTTGTATAACAAAAAAATAAGATTTTCACATCAAACAGTGTATTGCAGCAAGACTAGTTTAAAAGTGTGTGCATTGCAAGTTACTTTGTCAGACATCTGTGATTTTTTTTGTCGTCTCATTCCTTCTAATTTCTTTTTTCAGTTCTTTACTCTGTATTTGCTGCTGTTACCATACTTTCTACTCTTCAGCCCAAAAGATGAAATGCATTTCCCTTCAAAACCAGCTGTTATATATCTAGCCGTTGTAACCATTCAGAGTCATTGGTCAAATTTGGAGCTCTGAGTTGTGTGTCCTTTTTGTTAAGACACCAGAACTCTGTCAGACAAGTGATTCTTTGTTCAGTTGTCTAGTTTGTGTGGGCATCTGCTTTGCAGATTCAGCTATTCCTAAATTTCTGGTGATTTTGATACAACAAGCATCTGCAACGGTGTCGTCACTTAAAGTTGTTGTTCTACCTATAATCCTTAAATATTTAACAGTGAAACAGTTAAATATTCTTCAGGGTTTATGTAATGATTGACTAAGATTTGATTTCCAGCTTATGAACCTTTTCAGGTTCTTCATAAACTTAACTTTTTGAGGGCATCACATTAGTATTTGTGCCTCTGGACTGAATTTAGAGTATATACCAAAAGAAAATTGTAACAGTTTCTATGGAACTACTTTATGTTTTTAATTATACTTGCCATGCTATTAAAGTGTATTACTCCAGTGATGTTTAAAAGAGACATGTTTCAAAGATGAAGAGTTTAAAGCAGAAGTGAAACATCTGGAAGTAGGAAGCTTAGAAGGGAGAAATGGCATTGAAGGGAGAAGAAAAGGAAAATAAAATTCAAGCTAAGAAAAGCTGAGGGATGGTAAATAGAAATGACTTGGGAAAAGGGTCTGTTGAAAGATGTAAAGAGATACAGTAGAACTGTAAGGAATGAGAAATATAAATGAAAGTGAAGCTAAACTTTATTCTGCATTCTGTAATATAGTTAAGTTTGAGTTCTTCAGATTATTGTTCTCTGGAACAGTGTGGTACTTCTCATAGTGTATTAACATACTGGTGTCCTCATGGATTATGCAATTCTGGTTAAACATCTTCCCCTTCAGATGGACACATTTGTTAACCCACTGCGTAACTCTATGAGAAATGTATCAAATGCAGTCAAGTCTCTCCCTGACAGCCTGGCAGAGGGAATGACTAAAATGTCAGACAACATGGGTAAAATGTCAGAGAGATTGGGACAAGACATAAAGCAATCATTTTTCAAGGTAAGAAAATATTTGGTAGTTAATACATACTAGTAAGTTAATAGGAGTTAGCTATTGGCTCACTTAAACTGATGTTGTATACTGTAATGAAGAGTCAAGTAATTAGACAGGAGAGCAATCTGTTTTATACCTAGACCATTGTTTTAAGGTTCAGCGGTCATTATACTACAAACAATGAGTTCTCTTTGCTATTAAGGAATACATTTTAAGATGCTGCCTACGGACTGTTACAGTGATCCTGCTTCACTTAATTCAGTGCAGGCACTTGAGAAGAATGCGTCACCGGTTTTTATATTTTTCTTACCAGCTATTCTCATAAAGCTAGTTTGCTGCATCTGCTGCTTTCATTAGGGAAAAAAAAAACATTTATTTTGAAATTTAGAATAAGGAGATAGCCTCTTTTCTGCTTATTCCTTGCTGAATTCTGTTTTAAATTAAATTTCCTTTTTGTCTTTCCTGTCATCCTTTCTTATCTCTCATATTCCTAAAATGTAATACCTTAGAGGTGGGGAATGGTAGCATGGCATGCCATCTAGAAGTCCTATGAAAGTAGTAAACTTTCTGACATGACCATCTTATTTTCCTTTGCCCTTCTCTTTCTAAGTGTAGCTGTAAAGTCTGTGATCAGGGATTGTTCCATTTTGTGTTACCAAAACAGTTACATGAGGCGGCTGTAGAACAGCAACCGGGTTAATCTTTAAACCATGAAAAGAACAATAAATCTGGATGGGGTGTGGGTGAGAGTTGGGGGTGTTTTGGTTTTGTTTTTGTTTTGTTTTTTTCATGATTACTTGTGAGATAAAATGACTGGCTCTGGACTTTCTCCTTGCTTGTAACTTCTCTGGTGTGTGACTAACAGTGTATCTGCAGTTATACTCACTGAGAAGTCTGTGACAAGGCAGGACTTAAGGTCAAGAGGAAATACCAGAAGAAATATCAGTCCGATATTAATTTCTTGGGGTTTTTTTTCAGTTGAAGCATTAGGCACTTGAGAAAATTTATATGGATTAATCTTAAAGGTGTTGATAACTTTGATAGCTATAGGAGAACAGCTACAGGCTTGATTTGTTGGAAGATGAAAGGACTACTGTATGTTTATCTGTGGTGGTATGCAACTGACTTTTGACCAAATGTTTGGTTTTCATTTTCATAACCAAATTAATAATGAAAATTGATCTGACTTACTGGTATTCTAAAGTATTTTTTCCTTAATAAACATTACCTTTTTTCGTTGTAGGTGCCTCCTTTGATCCAGAAAACTTATTCAGATCCTGACCATTGCCGTGTTGCAGCACCAATTGATGACAATGTGAGTCTGACATTTGTCTTTTCAAAGCTGATTCCTCTCAGACCAAATTAATGAGTTATGTATTTTATGTTAAACTAAATATTTTTTGTTTCCTGATATTATACTAGGCACTTACAAATAGTTCTTAACTTCTTAAAAAAGAAACTTATGCTTCCTTCTAAAATTAACATCTTTGTTAGTACTAAAATGTTTTGCACAACTTGTACATGCTACTGCTTCTGTGTTTTGTGGGTGGGAGTTTGGAATTTTTTTTCCCCCCTCCTCTCTCCAGTTTCTGTCTGTTCAAAGATAGTATGGTACCAGACTGTTGGCATAATTTCAGTTGGCATTTTATGTATTCTGATTTCTGATGTGACCTTTTAGGAGACATTTGTTTAATCGATTAGAAATAGTGTTTGCTATGTGTTTATGGAAAAAAACCTTCCAAATGTTTTCCTAAATAATAAACTTTTAGTATATGGATACCTAAAATGTACAAAGTAGTAATATTAGAAACTTGAAAGTGAAGTTTAAGCTCTTGATGTTATAATAAGCTATGGTATTTTGCTTTTGCTTTGATTGAAACATTGATCATGTGTGTGAAAAGAATTTGAAAAAAAAACTTTTGTCTCTAAGTGGGACAGAAAGGCCATAAGATTACTAGGGATTATATGCAATTTGCTATGGTCATAAATCTGCACCTGTTCTGCACTTCACATTTTGGTTTTTTTGGTCTCATCAAAGCATTCCAGTTTGTCTTCCTGCACATAACTGCTATGATGGCTTGGTAGATGTTTTTTTGCTCAAATAACATAACCTTGAGTTCTTCTGGGATTTTTTTCCCCCTTTATTTTTCAATATATCAGACAGTATCTGTAAGTTTGTAACTATGAATATATATCTCTGGTACTCCAGAGGCTTCTGTTTTACACAGGCAAAACAAAATAATATCATTCAGTTATATGAGCAGCTTCTCTGCAAATATTTCATTGATCTTCTGTAAAATTAACAGAAGCTACAATTCTTGATAGCTTCTAAGTTAATTTACTAGGTGTTTCTGAAAGGCAGATCTCAAATGTTTTAAAACCTTTCAACTCTCAACTGCTCTTTTAAGATGCATTGTTCACAACTTGCAGTCACTAAATAAGGCAAAAAATATGGCAGTTTGAATGGAATTTTACATGGAGAAGCAGTACTGTAAAAGTGAGGCATGGATCTACAGAATCTTCAGCTGGATTAGGAATCCGCTGTCTTGGATTATAGTTGTATATAAAGATGTACTCGTGTAGTCCACCAGTGTCATAGCTGTGAGATCTTGCTACTTCAGTCCAGTGTAGGATTAACAATATAGTGCAAACTACTACTCTTCAGGTAGAGCTGTATCAGATTTCAAATACAAGACAATATTCTGAATGTTGTGCTTAAAATGTAAAAATCGTCATTAAAAAAACCCAGAGAATGTCCATTCAGTCTTTAACCAAATTTTGCTGAGGATATAGTAAGATTTTATTTTTTAACTTGTTATTCTATAAAGTTTCGATAGTAAATATCCAGTTTAAATAACGTACCAGTTAAAAAATTTAATTAATTTGTTGTATTTGAGATAAATATTTGTAGTCTCTTGTGCAATACAACTGTAACTTCAAAGGCTATGTTTTTATGCAACAGTTTGGCAATATGTAGGCTCCTATTTTGGCATGTAAGCAGACCAGGAGAAGCTGCTGTTGTTTCTAAAAAGGAACATTAGTAACAACTAAGATGAAAATCTAATACTTTCATACTGCAGAATTTAGTAAACTCTCCCTCAAATTTTAATATTTGAAAAAACATTGACAGTTACTGCAAGTGTATGCTATCCATCTTTTAAAAGCTTTTACATAGTTACTGAATCCTCTGGTTTAGGATTTCCATAAAAGTTGTTTTTTGTAAGCCAATCTGTGTAACATTTTTTATTAAATAATGAAATGATTATGCTTTTTTTAATAATCTGCAAGCATAAAAGTGCTTAATAGCCATGCAGGTTAGAACAGTATCTAAATAAAAGGCAGTTCATTGCAGTGAAGTGTTATTGTTCCTAGGAGGTTCTGAATTTGATGCAGTGCATCCATAAGAAAAAGATGCCAAAGAACAGCTCCTTCTAGACTTCTCACGTTAGGCACTTGAAAGCATAGCTACGAAAGGAAGAGATCAGGGATAAGCTCTCTCTTTAGGACATGTTTACTTTTATTAATTTTGTTCAGCTTTGAAATAACTGTTTCTTTTTGTCTTAGTTTAAAAATTCAGTGGATTTAAGTCTAGTTATTTTTCAATCTTTCTTTGCTATTAGTGATGTTATAGAAGATTTAGGGAAGATTTCGTATTACAGTAAAATACAGAGCAAAGTGTTTCTGTCATTATTCTGTTTATACCGAATCACTTGACCTGTTAAGTAGCTACTAAAACTGTAACTTTCTTAAACTGAAATAAAATATTACTGATTGTACTTTCACTCACTTGATCAGGTGGATGACAATATTCCACTGAGAGTAATGCTCCTCCTTATGGATGAAGTCTTTGATTTGAAGGAAAGAAATCAGTGGTTAAGAAGAAATATAAAAAATCTGCTTCAGCAACTTATTAGAGCAACATATGGTGACACAATTAATAGGTACTGCTTTTCTTACATAGAGCAATCGTGTGAGTGTGACTATGTAGATTGTGTCTATAAATCCCTTTTGGTATTACTGAATTGTTGTGGTTTGGATCTGCATTTATTCCCCTTTGAAAATGATCAGTAAAGCAAGTACAAATGTGGTACAAAATCACAAAACATTTCTGAAAAACAAATTCCAGTAACTCTTACATGCCAGAGAACTTCCAGAAGAGCTTCCACATATCAACCAGAGTTCGCGTGTCTGTGAATGTAACGCAATATTGATGGTATCTGTGCTTTTTGCCCTGTGTTTTGACACTGTACTTTGTTGTTAATACTGTTCATTACTTTATGCGCTATTTCTGTTTACATCTCTATGATAACACAGATGAAACGCTGACACTATCATATTACATAAACTGTACTGAGTTGCTATGTTAAGTTTTTGCTCTCACATTTTAACAGATGGAGGAAGAGGAAAGGAAAAGACCATTCTGCCCCCCATGTTCTCTGTAATTCGCATATACCCTTTTCCATGCAAATACAAAGCAAACTAATAGTGCTAAATAAGTAATGTTTCTTGCCTTCTTCCTAGAAATCTACTGTTTTCAGGCTTTCCCTTCTAATAATTTGTTTCTGAAATGTAAATAAAAATATAGAACAAAAAAAATTTTAGAAACAGGATTGACACTAAGTTGTCACTTTGGATTAGTGCTATGAATTAAAAACTTATCTGGCAGGTGACAAGTAGTTTTCTATTACTTTTTCAGGACATTCCTCACTGTATCATTAATTTTTACCCTTCACAAGTATATTTGTGGTGTTTTCAACATCACTGTTAAACATATAGACAGTTCTTGTGGTACCAGCAGTGATGCAACCATGTATTAATAGTAACACTGGGTCTTTTTCAAATAATTCCTTGTGGCCGGGTGACAGTTCTCTTAAGACCCGTGCTTCCGAAAACGTGCTGCCCTGTTGAACAACTCTGAATACTTGTTGCTGTTTTCAGGCTGTAGTGTAACTAGCTGAGTTGAGGCACGGGCTGCTGCTTTCTTATTGCAAAGATGTGTGCAGAAGTATTTTGCTTCAGTATTTGGAGCTATTCCACATACTCACAGCTTCCTCTGGTTCAGTCATGCCTTGTCCTGGCAGATTCTTGAGTTTAATGGCATTCTGCAGATGTTTTCTGTTTCTTAGAGAAGTAAATTCAAATTATGTTTAGGGAAATAATCCTAGGATTATGGTGATACACAGATGCATATATAATTTCTGTAAACATACTAGGTTTGGATATTGAGCTGTGTGTATGTGTTGATGAACGAACGTCAAAGCTTATGATCAGCCTGTATCTCCTGTTAAAGATTATGAAGTGTCTGTGTATAGTCATTTGAGATTTTAAGCAAGTTCTTTGCTTACAGAAGCAGAACTTGAAGAGTGCTCCTCTTCATGGAGGAGAAGCAAGCAGAACATTTATCTAACACTTGATGGGAGATGCAACATCAGTTTTCCAGCCAGTCTAGTCAATGTACATTTACTCAAAAAGAAAAAAGCTTTAACTTTAGCAGTGATCAGTGAGCTTAGATTTTTATCTTGAGAATCAGTGTTTGCCGCCTTAGTCTGCATTTTTATAGAACCTACTTATGGAGTTGGAGAAAGCTGAAATTATACTTTGTTTGCCCTAAAGTGCTCTTTAAATTGCTATACTTGTTTTCTGTTTTAAAAATTAAATGAGAAACTTGTTGCTTTGATTTCAGAAAAATAGTTGATCATGTTGATTGGATGACATCTCCTGAGCAAGTAGCAGATGCAGTGAAACGCTTCAGGTATGTCTTTTATCATAGACATTAAATGTGAAGTACTTGCCAATTGATGTCTAATCTCTATCTGTTCTTTTTATGTGAGGAAATTATTACTGTACAGAACTCCAGTTGGAGCATACACTACTTATGTGTGTTGTGAGAAAGTATTTGTCATGTGAAGAACATTTTTTTGTTTTCTCTTCTTCCTTAAAAAGTTCTTTGTTAACCAATCTAGAAAAGCTAGAGTGTGAGTATACTTACGAATTTCACTATATTACTAGATGAAGCATCTTGTTTACCTTGATGAAGGCATGTGCATGCTATGCCTTAAAAGGCAATTATTACTAAAAAACCCCTACCTAATATATTTTGCATGTGGGCAGGTACAATGGAGCTGAAGTCTGAGTTTGTAAGTGTCAAAGGCTCTTCATTTCCTAAAAGTCTTAATGCCTTCTGCCATATTGTTGAGCAAGTGCCACCCCCCTTAGATAAAGTAGGATAACGTAGGCTAACATATTAGCCAAAGGGCCATACTTTATAAATATTCTGTTATTCTTTAATAAAACTGAGTAAAGATGTGCTCTCCTTACTCAGAAAAAGAATATGTCATTCACTGAGGCAAAATACCTTTTTAGACAGAGGCATGTCTTTTGTTTTGGGCTTTATGCTACACTGAAACTACTTCATCTCAACTTTGGCTTGTTGATAGGATAAACACTGTCAGAGATCTAATGAAGCTAGAGTCTCTCTGTGCAATAGAGACTGATTGATAAAAGCAAATCTTAAATATATTTTATGTAGCAACTATGTGGTATTTGAATGTTTTTAATGTGTAATATTTTCTTTCATCTCAATCTTGTACAAAAAAAGTATATGGTAGCTATTAATAGGTTGAATGTGTTGTATTTCTTGCTTTTGATTTATTTTCTGCCTTTTCCCTTTTCTAATATTTGAAGTGTGTGTTAGGTTGTGTGCAAATTACTTTCTTGTATTTATTTTATGAGATAGCTTTGAGGGTTGCTTTCTTGTATTTATTTTATGAGATAGCTTTGAGGGTTAAAAAGAACCTTTCACTTGATAAAATTTTAATGTATTTTGACAGATTTGCTTTTGTTACAGAGATGCTTTTTGGCCCAATGGCATTTTAGCAGAGACTGTTCCACGGAGGGACAAAGCTATTAGAATGAGAACAAGAGTGGCAGGGAAGACCAAATTACTGGAGGTAATGCCAGGTAAGTGAGTCTGGGATTTAAGCCTAATAATTATTACCATATACTGTTACTGGAATTAATGTCAGTATTCTTGTTGATTGTTGAAATCTTGAAAAGAAATGTTGATGTACGCACTGTATTTAAGCAAAAAAAAGGTTTTTAATTATTAAAGCACTGAACATTTTCACAAGTACAGTGACTTTGCAACTCTTAATTCTCGTAGAACCAACCCAGTATTTAGTTTCACTAGAGGATTTAACTTTAGTGCATGAAATGCCTATATTCCAATACAGCATGTTTTAATGTAAAATAACATGGTTCCACATATATAGTGTAAAAGTGATTTTCAGAAATCCTTTCTGCTGTAAGAGGACCTTTAGTTTAGTCATGTTATGTGTAATAGAGGTACTGTTACTTCAAATTCCAAGCTATGTAATTTGAAAGACCCAATATTCTGTTTAAGTTTGTTATTAACACAAAAGCAGAATTTACCTTAAATTTCTGTGTAATATTCATTTTTGTAGATGAACTGAAGCACATCATAGGCGCTGAGACAACACGGAAAGGCATTCTTCGGGTCTTTGAAATGTTCCAGCACACTCAGTTGAATAAGAGAATGGTGTATGTGTTTCTGGAGAGATTCCTAGAAACCTTATTTCCACAAAATAAGTTCCATGAGCTCTTCAACAAACTGCATTCACGGTCAAAGCAGATGCAGAGGTATAAGCAGAGACTACATTCTACTCAAGCGCCTTCATTGCAGAAAAGGTGACACTTCAAACCTGTTAAGCTGGTGTATGTTTGTCCAGGACTATTTACTTGGGCAGATTCTCTGGGGCTTCAAACTCACATGCTGTTATTTCTGCACCAGTCTTCTAGTGTCACGTATTAGATTATTAATGCATCTGTAAGACCTGTGGATCTTCTCATCTTCACTTGTAATTCAACCACTACCAGAAGGGTTTGTGTGTCTTAAATGATTTGGTGCGTTTTCATGCAACATTGAGAAGAATACTGGCCCAATATATGTAAGAATTCTGATTCCTTCCGTTCCCGAGTCGATGATTTTGCCAGCAGTGAAAAGTGCCAGACTGTTCAAGTAAAGCACAACGATGTGATACAATGGAAGAAAAGGATATTTTGGCACTGGGAGATAGTGCAATGTATGAGAATCAGGTGGAATTGTTCTACTTTATGACTGTTCAGGCTCTGTAGGGCTCTCTTAACATTCCTGTAAAGGCTGAGCTAACAGAAAAAGCAGTCTCTGGAACAGCAAGTTCATAGGAGAGGGGAGAAATAGTTATAGCCCCATTCTACAAGTACACTTATAAAAGAAACGTTGAGGTAATGTGGCTTTTATGCCACATTTACTTCACCTTTCATGTTTTGACGAATAAACTAACATTAGATCTAATGGGGGTTTTAGTAAAGGCAGAGGTGCAGTAGAAAGAAACCCTTTATTCTGATTATTCTGTAGCTTTAAGGGCCATATTCTGCTCTTACAGCACCTGGCATATATTTTGCATGTAACTTCAGTGGAGAAGGGGCATCATTTATGTTCAGTTGGCGTATTTGAACATATGTCAAGTTGATAGTTGTAGAAGGAAGGGGGTACATCTTTCAAAGAAGACGGGCATCATGTTAGAAGATGAGGAAATTGCACTAAGACACAGTTTACACACGAATCCCTACTAAAATTTGAAACTTTCTTTGGGTGTAAAAGACTATGTCCTACTTAATTGAAAGATTCCTTACCTTTCAGTGCGTAAACCTCCTATGGAAAAATATTAGAATTAGTTGGTTCCTCACAGGTAAAGGATTTCATTAGTCATATGCAAACACTTGGAAATTCCTGAGCGTATCTCATTGTATATATGAAAAATAAAAAGGAGATAAAACTACGATATTTTTTTAAATATTTTTATTTTTTGCATAGTGTAAAATTTTAATAAAAATTGACATCAAGGCCCCACATCCATCTGTTTAGTTTCATTGAAAAATTTATGTCGAATTAAAAATAAAGTAACAACTTGAATAATCCTTTGGCCACAGCATATCTCAGTTTGTGTTTTCTTTTTTGTAGTCCCCAGCAGTTTGAGCACCACAGTCCAGGTGAATAGAAGGTAATCCTATAGAGTCCGTTTTTTTTATGAACGCTAAACACAGAGTAAGATACAGGTATTGATCAAGGATCCTTATAGTAATTTGTGTCTTACTGGGAACAAATGATCCTTCTATGTGAGGGAAGATGATAGACCTTTTATCAAAGTGTTCTAAGAGGAGATAGTAAATTTAACTAGGTCCTTTAAGAGCCTGAAGCCTCTATATAGATCATTTTTTCTCATGGACTCTATTAATGCAATGTAGCCTTTTATCATACTACTTAATGGTGATCATATTGTACTGTTAACATTCTCATACAGTATGCATGGGCTCAAGTGCACTTGGTTTTTTTTCTTTATTGCAGAACTAAATACTGTAAATGAGATCCCTTTCTTTTATAATGCCTAGGAAGACAAGTTGGTAAATATGTAAGAACCCTTCCCCCTTCCTCTCTGCAGGTTCTGTAGAAGCGTGATGATTAAGTGCTGTTGAATTTAACAAAATTATTGAGTTCTGTGTGAAGTAATCAACATAGCCAGCTCCTATTGTTTACATGCCTGTATCTTCCCCTGATGTCAGGGTGCTCAAGCACACCTGACATCTGCCTGGTGAAAGATTGTTCAGCAGTTGTTCTTGGCGATATAGTAAATATATCATTGATCCTACCAAATCTAATTTATGTCTTTTAAATCACTGAATTTGTTATGTAGTATGAAAGTGGGAAGTTCAAATACTGTTTTGTTAAATCTGTGGAACCTTTTATCTGTCTATAGGTACCATTAAAAATTTCAAGAGGATAGTGATCGTGTGCAAATTTGGGATTTTTAAAAATTATCTGGTACATTTCTGTACAAAAATAAAATAATATCTCTAGGAATGTGAACTGAACATAATACACCATGTTTATTAGTCGTTTTACTTAATGAACTTATGTCATATATATACCTATACACACATTTATATACATGTGTGTGCATATGTATATATGTATTGAAGTTTTGTCTTCTGTATTTAATTACAGAATGTGGCTTCCAATTCATTGGTGCCTGTTGACTGGCAAGAAGAATCTGAAGTGAATACTTTTTGTTTAAAAGAGTTTGTATGTGTCTTTATTTAAATGGTTTTCCTGTTGACGATTTAAAATACCTGCCCCGTCAACCCATGCAGCCCATTAGCCTAGGAAGTTTCCAAAACTGAATGTTAATATACAGCACTTAAGTGTCTGGATGTATCTTCTGGCCTTTGGGTGCTGTGACTGGCCACTGAAAATTGTGCCATTGTCAACAAATGCACTTGTTTTAGCCTTAATTATTTTTAAGAGAAAATAAGCAATTGAATTTTTCATTTGGTTCATCATTGAGCTTGTGCTGCTGGTGTTTGCTAGAACTAAACAGTAAATTTTAAGTGCTACCAGAATTGTACCAAAATAAAAATGTATTAATTCCACAATCTAAATTTTAATTTTGTGCAATATTTTCATTTAATGCATGTGTATTTGAAGAACTGTAAAGTAAATGAATTTTTAATGTTTTGAAGTCTAGGTTATAAACGTCCTTCAGCTGAACAATTTTGCATTCTGTTGTTGCGTTAGTTTATTTAAGGACTTGTTTTAAAAGTCTTATTTGTTACTCCTTTGTTAATTCCCTTGTTCTCGATGATCCTTGCTCATCTGAGCAAAGCTCATATATTACAAGGGGAAGATCTGAAGAGCACATCTCATAAATATAGCTGTTAGAAATTACTTGTGCATATCATTGTACAGTAAGTGTCAGCTGTGTGCCTCATTGTTCTATTGATGCTTTTTCCCTCCCTTACCCCTCCTCTCGTTTTCCGTAACAAAGAATGAACATGAAACAGGCTGCCATGGTCACTTCTACTGAATGGCAGAGGACTCTGAATTTTTTTTGGAGTTTGCATTTATGTTCTGTCTGATAGAAAGCTAAAAAATTACACTAATAAAGTATTAACAGGATGATTTATGAGTCTCTAAATGTTTATTTAAAAAAACCAAACAACTTTCTCAGTAGCACGTACGAATGTTCCTCAAGTCTGGAAAAAAAAAATCACTTAAGGAAAAAAATACTGCTGTTAAGTGTTATTTAAAAAAACCCCAGCTATTCCCTGATTTTTAAACAGTTTATAAACTGGTATTGCTTTTAACAACTGAATCTCTACATTCATTTTCAACCATTGTTTGCAGTGTCTGGAATTTTAAAAGGACATGTGTGGAAACTGTGGAATTGTATGGTGTGGGAAGTTTTTTTATATTGTTGGGGTTTTTTTCACTCTTTGGCTTTTCCCCTGGGTTTATTTTTGCAGCAGCTGGATCTACCATGGGAGCACAATTGTTACCCTTGATATATTTATTCCAGCTGTTTCACATTCATCAAAAAGATGTCCTGAGCTACGGAGATGTTAGTCCTTTGGCCCTAGGGTAAAGTATTTACTGCTTTTGCTAACTTACAGACTTTTGCTACAGGGTATAGACACACCTCATGAATTTTACTAGCTGATTGATAGTTCTTTTTTGTTGAAGTTGTTCTCCTAGGATAATTTCATGGCAAGAAATTCTGTTATAAACATTTTTAAAAATTAAAAATATCTGCCATTTGCTAAGTGAGAGTTACATGTGCCTGTGGCTTATTTAACTCTTCAGTCTATCACATCACCTGGCTTATATTTGTTTAGGTGTCTGGTGAATATGTGAGTATTGCTAAAGTTTCTGTAATCAGCATCACTCTGCATTGATTTATTTAATCACAAATTTCATGGTTTATGTATTGAAAGAAAGGTATGTAATTAAAACAATGAGTTCATTTTTCTTAAGTATTTCTAAAGAAATTAAGCTTTATTTTTATTAAACATTTTGAAACATCTGTGCCACTGCAGTTTCCCCTGCGCGCACACAGCAATATCTTTGAATACTTCTGTATGTATGTACGTATCTCAAATAACTTTTTCCCATGCCATGTCTCTTTACATTCCTATGGCATGTTGGGGTTGGAATAATCTGTCTGGGTCAGTTAAATTATTTAATATCTGGTTCAGAAAGGGCTAATTGGAATTCTCATTTGATATTTTATATAAATTAATTACGACTAGAACTAGATTACATTTAATTTGTTGGCAATCAAGAGCTACTTATTGGGAGTGAGGAATGCAGCTTTCAAAAACAGACTTGCTCTTTCTTGCCATAGGAGTTCTAAAATCTAGTCTCAAGTAGTCCAAGTTCTTGTGTTCTGAATTTTCTCAGCCTGAGGTCCAAAAACTTGCTAATTCTGAATTAATTTGAGAGCTAGTTACAGAATTGTCAGTTACCAGCTTACTGGAGTTTTAGATAAGAGATTCTGATAAAATTGTAAGAACTGGGAACACTTTTGTTCATTTAGAAAATGTAGAAGGTGGTTGTGCAGGTTACCTGGTTATTCCATCCACAGAATAGCCAGAACTTGAAGTAGACTTTTTTGTTCATTTTCTAAAAATAGCCAGCTAGTACTAGAGTAGGTACAAAAATATCTTTGTACAAGTCACTTCATGTTAGCGAGCTACAGGTTTCTTATTTTTCAGTTTGAAGGTGACATTAGAATTGGATTGGCAAAGACAACGTTTTCCTCTTTCTTTTCATGGTCTTAATGCAAAACATTTCTTCATAATCTGATCAAAAAACTGATTTTGCATCTTCCCTGCTCAACTTTTCTATTATCTGTGTTGTTTTAAATCACTGG